AAGACTACACGGCCATCTTATAATACTGCAGCAAAACGTGGGTGACCGAACATGAAATCTGGCAACATGTCAGAGACAATGTGAGAGGGTGATTCGACACGAATTACGAAATGCAGAACATTGAACAGAAGTACTCAGTGGAGGTATTCAAGATAGGGGTGTAATCTTATCTGTGCATCAATGCAGACTATACAAACAGACCTTCGACTTGATTAGCACAAGACGGACGAAAGCGTATTATGAGTAAGACAAGGTTGACTACTGTTTTGAAAGCGTAAACAGCATAAGGAGTCGTGATATTCCAATCTCCTCACACCTACTTAGCCTGCTACAAGCCTAACCTACCTCCATCTATATCTCGCCACATACTTCCATGGACAACAACTAAACATCCAGCAACAATCTCATCAGCCCCCACCCCCCCCCCCACTCATTCATATACTCATTCTGCTGTTGATCAACAGACACAATTTCCACCACCGTTTAATCGACTACAGATGCAGGAGTTCAACAGAGCATTTCAGGTGTGGTCGTGGTAATTTCCTTACAATTTATATCACCATGTTGAAGCTGATTATACCACAAGGAGAATCACATATATGGTGTATGCTACAACTCGAGATACATGTGTATGTTCATGTATTCTCTAATGGAAAAGGCGCTTATTGATATGCTCACAACCGAGAGCTCAATTCCGCTGATGAAATAGTCATATTCCTTGTGTATAGAAATTTAATGAAGTTGCATGAAATCATAATAGTCATGGATTGTCACTTGTAGTGTTTACTTGGCATATTTACCCTCTCCTAGGTGTCTGTTCGATTATTCACTACCTGCATACTCATGGAATCATCCTGTGTCAGTTTCGCTGCTGAATGAAACAATCGCTTCATATCACATTATGTTATTATGTATTGGACTTCAGTGTAATGATAGACTGTAAGGTAGTTTGTAGTCTAGTGGATGAAGTATTGTGAGATGGAACTTCACTGAAGACCATCAAGAAATTCAACGGAAATGTCACGATGCCAGTTGTCCACTCGTTACCTTGACTTGAAACAACAGTGGTGATTTCTTTCTATCTTCAAGAAGATTTTTACATTCTACTCCTGAACATTAGATTGTTTGCGTAACCGAACACAATTGAAGCATTGAAAACCTGGTGACACTGCACACCTGTTTTGTTCCACCTAAGCAGAAATCTCGTCTTCGATAGGGAGATGAGTCCTTCGCATAAATATAATCTTCATAAAACTCGAACTACATTTGTGTATACTGCTCATTATTGACATGTTTCGAGATGGTCACCTTGATGTTGTAATGGGAGTTGTGACCTGTGTGGTCATGTAGTGGGGAGTGAAGCACATGTCAACTGAAATCCTCGGTGGCCAGTCGTGTTGTATCACGCACCAGTTGACAGTTGTAGGAGAGTGTGGACCATTGAATGCCGATCGAGTGGATGGTTGGTTACCGTACTCTGAGTGAGTTCGATGCGTGATGAGTTAGTTGGTGCATACTACTGAGAAGTCCGATAGCAAGTGGAAACGAATTTCGTCTGCTTCCAGTGTTTCACTCCTTCTCCAACTGATGTCAGTCCGTGATAAGTGTTCACATGAAAATAAACTTGCCATTAACGTGAAACTGTTGTCGGACATTGTCTGATGCTAATGTGTAGTGCACAATCATTTTGCATCAGTGGAATCAAATCAGGAAGGAAAACGTGCAAGTAATATCAATGTAATCAACATCATGATCGTCATCATCATCATCATCGACAGCAGCAGCAGCAACAGCAACAGCAGGACCAGCTTGACAGCTGGCGAAGTAGAAGAAGATACCAACCTCGTCTGGATATTCAACATTACCATAACTCGAAAATAGTTAAAGACAGTCAGAAAACAAAACCAATTCTCAACAAATAAATTCACGAAAACAACTCATATATATTCGTTCAGCTTCATGAAATTCTGAGAACAAACAGGTTGATTAATTCAATGTTTACTCACAAAACCTCAGTCAATCACATGTAACATTTCACCTGAGATAAACAAACATCCACTTGCTTCGATTATTCACCTTTACACCTTCCACTATATCACCATCATGATGACTGAACAAAATGAAAAACTGTGTGTAGATGTTTACTTGAACAACAATTCAATTCGATGAATTTTTCATCATAAACAGTCAGCCTACAATCATCAATAGACATTTTGATGAACGATTGAAATTTGATCAGATTTCTCATTCAAGTTTGATTTGTCCACTGATAAGCCAACCACACAAAGTCACTGTTGTCGTCAACTTGCCACCTGATGTAAGTTACAAAGGTGAATGTGTGAATTGGCTTGCCTATCTTTCATGTTGTTGCTTGTCACCTTTGAGTTACGAAGTGTTTACGTAAACAGGTTTACTTATCAACAAAATAAATGAACCTTCATCACCGAAGTATTTGTGCTGACAATTCTATTTCGGTTATATAAAGACATTCCATCTATGTGTTGATATTTTGTACACCTTCTACATCTTGATAATATTCGTTGCAGTAATGGGTCGTTCAGTTGTGCTTATGAGAAGTGATGTGGTTTTAGGAGGACGGAGAGATGGATTGAATGTCAGATGGAAGGTAAATAGATTTTCAATGTGCAACAGTTTTCAACTTTACTCATACAAAGGTGCTTCTAATAACGGCAGTTCTGCTCATTCTACCAGTCACTTGTATTCTGCTGTCATCATACGGGTGAGTTTATAAGATATGAGGAGAATATTTTGGGTTACAGAAACACTACTGCGTCTTGGCTGCTCATGAATGTGTGGTTTGTTGTTCCCGTCATGTAATGCATCAATATCGCGATTAACAGACTCTATTTAATTTAGAATTACAACAGCGTGCTTAATGGTGACGTATGTTATTCTGGAAATTTATTACATTTCTCTCCCCTTGCAAATTCTATTCTCAGTCCTATTGGTAAGACATTTTGTGTACCCCAATAACTGTAAATATTCATATGCTTGATGAGGTGTGAACAGAGAACTGAATGAATGTGTGTAATCGATTGAGTAGAGAATGGAGGTTGGTTAGTTGATGTGACTTCGAAGCTCGTTGGAGACATTGTGTTGTGTAGTTCTACCAATCACTGGCTTGTGAGGTGATCGAAAACTGAACGCCGTTGTGAAGATATATCCATGTTTCCCATTTCAGTAGTTATCTCACTCAACTTTCTTTTATTCACTTCCTCTGTGTGCGCTTTCTCCAAAACATCAAATTTACATTGGAGAAGGAGTCGAACAACCAACTACTATCCAGCCACGATTTATTCAGTAGAACCAACACCATCCACTCCGACACTCTGCTTTACACATGAAGTCAACCAACACACAATCCTCAAATTCTCAACTACAGTAGAAACAAATCAACAATGAAGAAAATCAGTTACGCACAGACTTTATTCGGCAGAACACAAATCACTGCAATGCAACAACTTCACGTTGAAATATGTGTGGTCAAGTAGAATGGTCATGGGTGAAAATTCATTAGAAGATACACATCTCGTTCATCCACGGAAGTCAACACTCGCATAATCCTACCATTCTTAAAGATCGTATCACAGATCATGACAGGATTACTCAGAACACTTGAAATCGGTGTCACTCACAAACAAACAAATTCACTCAAAGCCATATTATGCAGACCATATGATGCAACAACCAGGGAAGATGTGCCAAACATGATTTACAAAGTCAACTGCCACAATTGTGATCAACACCACATTGGACAAACCGGTCACATTCTTCATCTTCGCTCAAATGAACATTAGTTGACTGTGAAACGACATCATATTTCAACGCTTATATCAATGTATGGGGACAACTCTGCACATGAATTCTACTTTGAAAATGTAGAGATAGTGTACATAAGGAAGACAGATGAAATCAGAGAATTCCTAGAAGCTTGGAATTCTGGTCAGTCAATAATCAGTAGATGTATTAACATAACCTCAATCTATCAAACAATGAGACAAATGATGAAGAAGTGAGAGCTTGGAGGTCTAACTGAGAAACAGTCAGTGGAGTAATTTATGCAGTCAGTGACATAATGGTCAAGTGAAATAAACAGTCTCAAACTAGTTGGTCAATATAAACGATTGAATCACATACGGAGACATACTGACAACTCACATTATATTCGAGTTAGTGATGATGATGTTGTGTAGGAGGAAGAAGTAGGCTTCACCATTGAAGTGGCCAGTTCAAACGACACAGCACAACACAACACAACGAAAACCATCCACCTCAACCACAAATATTCTCCATCATTTCAGAACCATTTACTCCATGTTCACATTAGGAAATATAAACTGAACGATGCTGTTGTAGACTGAGTCCGTACAGGTTGTGAGACGATTATCATTATTTAGCTGATATCCCTCATGTGGAAAAGGTGTATGGCGTTTAACAAGTGTTTCAATCGTTTCTCTAAATTTTAGGACATCGCACTATCAATCACACTCGCTATATTATCATCATTTTTTGAGGGTAAATGGTGTTTGATTGCTCTGGGTATTACAGCTGTTATTGCTTTCTTAATTGGAGTTGCTGCGATCAAAATAACAACACGAAAATCACTCAAGAAGATTGTGCTTTACATTACTGGTGGAGTGTTACTCCTCATCATCATAGTTTCTGATATTCTTGCTGCACTAGAAATTCAACTAGAGGTAAGTTCCAAACGTTGATCAAGGGAATGCATGCATTCTGAGGATAATTAGATACAAAATACATCTAGTTTATGAATATGATATGCTTTTGTCTCTTCTTTCCTAAGGAGGTTATCAACGAGATATTGAAAGTAGCCTTGAAGGTGATTCGATATTACTCATTCACACACTCTGCATCTCATACACTCACCCACTCAGTCACCTACTCATATATCCATCCATTCACTCACTCACTAACACACTTATTTGCTTACTTACTCTCAGCCAATCAATCAATCACTGGTTTGATTGTGATATATTTGGTTGAATGGAAGGACATGTTTCACTAGCATAAATAATCATAATTATTTTCGATTGTCATTTCTCCTGTGTACTTTGCATATTTCCCCTTTCCTAGGTGTTTCTTCGATTATTGGCTTCCTGTTTACTCGTAATATCATGTTACGTGAGTTTTTCTATTGCATGAAACAATCGCTTCATATCACATTATGTTGTTGTGTATTAGAGTTCAGTGTAATGATAGACTGTAAGGTAGTTTGTAGTCTAGTGGATGAAGTATTGTGAGAGGGGAGATCACTGATGAGCATCATGAACTGAACACAGATATCAGGATGCCGACTGATGATATAATGACACCGAATATCTGTGTAATGTCAGTCAACTCATCGAATTGAATTGATGGTCATAAAATGTGAGGAGGGAAAATTCATTTCGTGAATCAACAGTTTCCATATACTGATGAACGTGTCGGTGTCACTTCATTAAATTTTTACTCAACTTCGATTCACGATTCCAATGCAGTTAACTAACCATCATACACATGGAATATGGCGATTTCATCAACAGAATCAAGCTCTCGGTTTTGAACACATATCATTAACCGCCTTTTCCATTAGAGAAAGCATGAACATACACATGTATCTCGAGTTGTAGCACACACCATATATGTGATTCTCCTTGTGGTATAATCAGCTTCAACATGGTGATGTAAATTGTAAGGAAATTACCACGACCACACCTGAAATGCTCTGTTGAACTCCTGCATCTGTAGTCGATTAAACGGTGGTGGAAATTGTGTCTGTTGATCAACAGCAGAATGAGTATATGAATGAGTGGGGGGGTGGGGGCTGATGAGATTGTTGCTGGATGTTTAGTTGTTGTCGTGGAAGTATGTGGCGAGATATAGACGGAGATAGGTTAGGCTTGTAGCAGGCTAAGTAGGTGTGAGAAGATTGGAATATGACGACTCCTTATGCTGTTTACGCTTTCAAAACAGTAGTCAACCTTGTCTTACTCATAATACGCTTTCGTCCGTCTTGTGCTAATCAAGTCGAAGGTCTGTTTGTATAGTCTGCATTGATGCACAGATAAGATTACACCCCTCCACTGAGTACTTCTGTTCAATGATCTGCATTTCGTAATTCGTGTCGAATCACCCTCTCACATTGTCTCTGACATGTTGCCAGATTTCATGTTCGGTCACCCACGTTTTGCTGCAGTATTATTAGATGGCCGTGTAGTCTTGGTGAACTGTTTTCCTTATGAATATAAATGGTCAGAATATTTTTGTGTGATGATGGTGACTGTGGCATCAATACTCAAAGCATTGATGACGTCTGCATTCCGTGATCTCAGTAATTTCACCTCCATGAGATAATCAAGTGAGTCACGAGTTCGTGGAACTGTGTTCCACACTGAGATGGTGATGATGGTCAGTGAACAGACATTCTCGAATTCTTATGTTTAGAGTATATTCTTGGCACTGGAATGATATGAACATTTCTTTTTTTGCAAAATGATTCTCGAGTATCGCTCATTGGTACTGATAAATTTCGAAGAAACCATTCACTCACTTAGACTAGTCTACACAGACATGGTTGTTCCCTCACAAAAATGATTAAGGGAGGCAATGGCGTGAAGTTCACTGACTCAAAACATTCACGCTTTGGAAGAAATCAAAGAGTGAATACGTGTGCACCATTGTAAACTATCTTAAGGCATGTCAGCAAGAGTTCACAACCATTGATTCCTGTCGTCTCACGGTGTGTGACCAGGTAATGTTTATCTCCCACACGGCTCAGACAAACAGTCACACACTCCATCGACTGTTCCCACATCTTGGTCTCCCCACCCTCAAACCTCTTCCAAGATAATCCTCATTCCCTAGTGCGGCACATCGAGGTAGATGATCACTCGGCATGTACACTACATGCACAAGACATCTCAGTCGACTACAGTTCACAAACTCATCGGTCGACTTGTCTATCTTGCCTAGTATCCTTCACACACCTTCAATATTGCACACACACACACACACACACACACACCCTGATTCCAACACACACGAAATATGCTACGAAGACACTTATGGTCAAGCTCCTATAACGCTTCATATCTTCTATTTTATACGGCCATGTCTCACATCCGTATAACAGGTGAGAATAAACTGACGTCTAATATACTTAGGCATTCTCTAACGGGTAGTCGGATATCTCGGTAGTCGGCTCCACAGATGAAGCAATCTGAGAGACATGAAAAGAGCCTTCTACATGTGAGCTGAGATTTCGTCAGTAACTAGCCAGTTCGTTGTGATGCTACTCCACAAGTGAGAGAAGTGGTAGATGTATGAAAACTCTTCCCACACCCTTCCCAACACTCGTTTACTTCAATTGTGACATCTTGATGTTGTCAGTGAATGAGAATGTCTGCTTTCCGGTAATGATTATAAACACATCAGAATGTTTGAAACATCACATTCCTTCTATTCCATTTATCATTTCAGATGATCTACTCGTTTATTCAGTTGACATGGAGAGGAGAATTTCCGGATTCTGAGTGTCTCTACATGTCCAACATGTTATGTCTATTCTTACTTGCATTATTCTCTTCCATATTACTAATGTTTCCAATGGACGGGTCGAAGAGTTGTTCTGCCTTAGAAGCAATGTGCATGATAGGCAACTGTTGGTTCAAATCGATTGGGCATCCAATCTATGCTTGGTTATACGATGTCAGTATATTGTAGTGAGGAGTATAGATAAACATGTATATCTCAATGCTTCCAATGTTTTACTCATTTCATTGTAAACTGCATGTACACTTCTTAATGGTGGGTGAATGTGAAGAGTGTCTTACAAGTAGAATGGTGACACAATAAATTTCATTCAATTGCTCCTGTT